ATGATGATGATGATGATGATGATGATGATGATGATGATGATGATGATGATGATGATGATGATGATGATGATGATGATGATGATGATGATGGATATTCTGTTTGCACATGACTTTCTTAAACTCCACAAGTCCTTGAAAATCTTATTCAACGGCAATAAACCCTCTTTCTTGCTTTGTGATATAATCGCTGCCAAAATAGAATATCTCACATTGTTCGCGCATCTTGACCCAAGGTGTACGCCTACTGCATAAAGTCCATAAGACATTCTACAAATGATGCTTTTAATGTTTCTGAAGTAAAGCGTTCTACGTGACCAACAAATCGTTGAACTCCCAAAGTCTCCATGGAGAGCGCAAGCGCTCATCATAAAAGATGAGAGGCAGGAAAAACGAACGGTTTCCAGTCCAACTATCAGCCGATTTACAGAACTGGATGCACCGCTTCCCAGGATTGAGGATATGAGTAGTAAGATAGCCCAATACCGTGTTTCCAGTAAGCTCGACCTTGGAAGTATCATCAAATACACGCTAAGGAAAGCGACAATCCACACGGCTTTAGAGGTTTACAACAATCTTTATCAATTTCCCCGGATACCGTTGGGAGTGATGATTGGAGTAGAGTGCTTTAAAATGGTTACGGATGACGTAATGGGCGCTGCAAAACTTACCGGGACATATGCCTATGAAGATAATACCACTATTTGTGGAAAGGATCAAGAAGAACATGACCTAAATCTTCTACGTCCTCTCACCCTAGCAAAAAAGTACGATCTTCGGTTAAATCACAATGAAAGTACAATTTCCACCACTAAAGTCAGACTCCTTGAACATGAAATTACGGAAGGCATCATCAAACCAGACCCTGAACGTCTCAGAGTCTTGCAAGAACTCCCGATTCCAAAGGACATGGTTTCAAAAACGTGCAGTTGGCTTATTTGCGTACTATCCTCGTTGGACAAGCCATTTCTACGATAGCGTCTACCCAATCACTCACAAACCTGTTGAGGCTTGGACAACCTGGCAGTATCTTAGCCCTCGTGCATGATAGTTACGCACCGAAAGCGCCACAGCTGAACTATTTATTTATTTTATAAAGAAAAATCGTCCAGCTGTAAAACCCTTTCGGTGCCTAACTATCATGCACGAGGGCTAAGATACTGCCAGGTTGTCCAAGCCTAGACAGGGGAAGTCGAGAGGCAGAAGTCGGGTTCGCGCTGTAACCACTTGAGCCATCTTGACCCTTGTTTATTTTATAACCACTTACAATACAATCTTTCCAGTCCGAGTCTACTATAAACGTGTTTGAAAGAGTTAGTGGATGCAGCTGCTTATCCGAGAATACCTCCGACACTCGAAACTGATGCACCCGATGCAATCAGCCAAGATGGAACGCCGGTTGCACTCTTCTCAAGTACACTGTCTGCCGACAAAAAACATCACTCCGTTATTGAAAAAGAAGCGTGCGCAATTGTCGAAGTAGTGCGCAAATGGGAACTACGTAATCGAGGCCCATGCAACCGATCAGCGGTTAGTTGCATTCATGTATTCAACACAGCAAAAAAAGAAAAAACGACAAGATCCAACGGTGGCGGATGGAGTTATCATTTTTTTCTCCTGATATAACTTACAAATCAGGCACAGAAAACAAAGCCACTGACAAGCTCTCTTGGAGTGTCTGTGCAAACACCTCGTCTCAGCTGGATCTAAAATGCTTACATGCAACTCTGTGCCATCCTGGAGCAACACACGTGATGCATTTCATTCGTGCCAAGAACTATCGATTTTCCTTAGAAGACATCTAATCAGTCATGAAGCAATGTCATGTGTGTGCGGAGTTAATACCATGTTTCTTCAAGCCATCTGCTGGTACAAAAATTAAAGCCACACAAACGTTTGAATGTTTAGGTACTGACTTCAAAGGACCACTTTCTTCGACGATTCGAAGGAAATATCTACTGACAGAAAAGGAGCGTCTGACGATAAACCGCGAACGATGGCGAATCATACACCGTGATCAATAAACAATTATAAAGAGACCAACACAGCTCCGAACTCATCTGAGGTGCATAATAGCGCCACACATCAGGTCGTTGCGTATAACGACTTCACCCCTGTCCTATAAATCTTTCCAGAAACACCAGCAGTTTTCACTTTGTGAGTCTGTGTTTTAGGCCACAGACCCAAGGTGAGGTGAGCCAACCTAAGCAACCGTTAACTAACATTTACCTTTGTGGCTCCCATCTACACCGCTCCCCTTTACAACTCATTTCCGCCCTCCGACTAGGTGATGTTGGTCGGATTTATTAGACGACAGCTAAATAATGTGTCTCAAACGTCATTCCACCAAAGGACAAAGGAGCACGTTAATGGACAAACAGTTTTCAAAATGTAATGGCCTCGAATGCCGAAGCTGCCGGTTATTGCTAGAACAGTACTTTCCCGTTGACGCTCGATTCACCGGTCGGCTGCTAGGTGGCTACCAGGCGATTCAGGGCAGTTAGTTTGTGAGCAAGCGGCGATCCGAGTGTCTTCTTGGCGAATCTGGATTAATGACTGAGCTGCATTCTGCTGGAATAATCGTTCGGCTGTAGCACTCTTTTGGTGCCTAGCTGCCATGTCATCCAAAGGAAGCACGAGGGCTGGGATACTGCCGGGCTGCCCAAGCCTAGACAGGGGAAGTCGAGAGGCAGAGGTCGGGTTCGAACCGGAATAACATGGAGGGTCGCGCTAACATCTGCCGTCGGTCATCAATGGCGTGACACCGGCGCTCGGTGCCGAGTCGTGATTGGCGAGGACAAGCGGACAGTTGTGTAAAAAAGTTCGATTCCTCTAGCATAGGGAACCGTGGACGTGCCATAGGCCAGGCAAGAGCCTGCAGGCAGAAGAGACCACCAGTGGGGGTCTACAAAAGGAGGGGAACCAGCTGACCGAAGATGTGCTTGTCCTGAAGACAGAGGCGCGTCAGAGCATTCGAGGAAACACAACCTACAGCACTGGTATGAATACCTATTGGAATAAAAAAGTCCCATCAGCTGTATCATCACATTGGGCTGTAAACCACATGCTCATTGTACAATGGTTATAGGTGACACAGTTTCGTTCGCTGATGATCCGGTAAGATAGGATTGGATGGTTACTCACCGAGGGCAGTAGCCAACTGGCAAGAGTTGCAGTGGACCTTTCACTGAAAAGATTGGGAAGGAAACCTTTGCACTGAATGCAACAGCTTGAATGCGTGCGTACCACTGAGCTTACGGACTGGCGTCCAACAAACATCCAAGGTGCCTACTCCTCCAAAACTTCACCAATCTGGATGCAACTGACAAATGGAAGCAACTCACATCGGTTCATCATCATCATCATCATCATTGACAGCATGACATCAGTGTTCAACACCGATGCTTCACTGCCGTACAACCATGATTTATTTGAAAGCCTTATTGT